TTTCCTTGTTCCCTTTTGGAGACCATCTGCCTAGGTGTAACACCCTCTTGGCGGTTGTGTGAGGAGGAATGCCCCTAGGATTTAAGGAGGGAGTTGACTTGGTGCCAGATTTGCACCTCCGTCCGCTTTGCGATCGAACAGGTGGGCTCAGCTTTACCCTTAATTATTACGTTCCTATGCCTCCCGAGAGCGACGTCGGTTTGTTGGAGTTTGAGTGGGTTACCTTGGACACTGACAAGTTTAGTGGCGTGGTTGGTTAAGGAGTCAATGATCGTCTTAAGCTAGCGTGTCATATTTTCCCTACGAGTCTGCAGCTCCGGATGGTCAGTGGTGGGCAGAATGTTCTTTCTATCACTGTAACATCCAGAAAAGGGACTACTGTTTTACTCTGTGATCTTTTTACCTGTGGCAGGGGTTGGCCCTATAGTTTTCTGCGGGGTGCTCCCTGAACTCGGCTTTAATGATGTCCGTGCCTGAGTTTTTGATTTAAGGGAGATCGTACCTGTTAGCCTTTGCTATGATTGCCTGCTTACAGATGATTACGCACGCATAACAGACACATTGTAAGCATTTATGCTCAATGTGAAGACGGTAGGCCTTAACAGTTAATTTGTTGCATTTGCAGTGACGGCAGGTATCCAAAGTTTCGCAGCACACCTTTGCTTACGGTAGCCAGGTAGTCTGTTCTCCCGCAGGGAAATACCCTGCTCCCAAATTTGGGGCTAGCCTTTGCGGCTGAAGAGTATTTTTGCTCTCAGCTCTCGTTGTCATCTGCAAATAGCCTGCTGGGTTCCAGTGTTAGTTTCTGGGGGTTTCACGAGGTTTAAAGAGTCTCACGGTAGCGGCTCATACTTTAAATTGATGAGATAGAAAGTGTGAAGGATTTAATGTGGGGAAGCTAGAGATAAATAGCATATACTAGCTCGGAACACCAACCATTAGCCAGAAGGTAACACAGACGCTGGACCGGCCGAGTTTCCTCTCAAAACGCAACCACTGACGTCTAGGCTCACCTTTGTAGCACTATGAGCTTACCCCTTGGCAAGTACGAGTCGATTTAAGCCGGATCTGGGTCCACCATGGGACGATTTGGTGGGCGTTTCAGAAGATTTTCTTGAGTTACGCCAAACGCTCCAAAAATAGATACCGCACTACAGCTTCTTGTTTGTGCGCCTCAGGCCAAGTCAGGTTAGGTCAGGTTTGGCTGATGCCAAACGAGACTCCAGTTTCCTGCGCGATCGAGCTCCACTGTTCTCGAAACGTTTCGACGGTTTCTGAATTTTTTGCCTCACGTAAAGGGCTTTTGTTCAGTATGCTCCAGTAGGGTCTAAGTTATCTGGAAAGGACTGGTATGAGCATATGATACGAAAAAGACAGGTTCGAGTCAAACGATGATTCTCTTGGATACTTACTTCCCTTATAACATTTCATTTTTTTCACACTCCTCGATTTGATCTCACCGCACACCTAGTTTTGAAGTGGCTCTTGGGTTTGAGGCTAGCGCCTAATTGTCCCGGATACTTATTCGGTTCTTGTTTTCCGTTAGTGGAGGATGCAGCTGGGAAATCAGATAAGACCGGAGGAGATGTCGATGCTAGTTATTATGGCGATATTATTAGTAAAGGTAAGCATTTGCCATAGCAAATCAGTAAATAAATGAAAGGCATTTTTATATTTTTGTTTTTGCATTTTTTTGCTTTTGGAGGGAGGATCATGAGGAGGTAATTAAACCGAGATGCTTATCAAGCAGAAACTTGAATGAAGCTTTGCTTGTTGCAGAGACTGTCTCTTCTGGCAATACGTTCCAATGTGAATTTACCCTGAAATTGTAAAATGATGTGCGAAGGGCGGTGCGCGTTTGCGGTTTATATAACATTTTTCTATTACCCCGATTTCTACCCATTGGGGCTAGAGTAAAGAACTTATCTATTGGACCCGAGGAGAACAGGTAGTGTAGAAGAAATTGGTCAGCCCTAATTTGCCTAACTTCCACAGGATACAAACCGAGCTCCACTAGACGGTCATGACAGGGTACATGAAGCATTCCAAGCAACGTTTTTGTTGTCACTTTTTGAACTCGTTCAAAAGCATCACGATTACGGATCTGGCCGGAATGAACAACTTAACTATCATGCTGTAGAAGACGATTATAGGTGCCATAAGAGAATAAAAAGTTTTTCTTGATGACGTAAGGAAAAGATCTTCGAATAAGATAAAGAACGCGGAAGGCAGATTTGTTGGCCAACTTGCAGATTTGTATTCGTTTTCGTTCCTAGTCAGTGAAAGAGTAAGGACGCCAGCCTGTATACTGTGTCAGAAAGATTAGTCATTCGGAGTTGTTTAGGTTCATGGTGCTCATCCGACATCGCACACTTCTCCTCATGGTCGATCCCTCCAGTAGGATCTCAGTCAAGTCAAGAGTTTAGGGGGATGCTGCTGTATAATATCAAAAGTAGAGCACTTTTAAATGTGGGATTTAAGAGCAAATCGAGTGAAACAGGAAGAAAGGAAACAAAAAAATGTTAAATAAGTTGTCTGGAGACACTTGGAGGTCTTCAAGGAACACTTTATCCCATCAATAGTGGAGTCTAAGCTGGAAGACGGCAACTTCTTCTGCCGCTACCATATGCGTAGGGAGCTTGCTTCAGGCTTTGGTCACCCTGCATGAGAAAAACTATACTCTATTCGTTGCCGTTAATCCCATTATCAATTTGAAGGCCCACACTATATCCGCCGTTAAGGTGTTTTGAGGGAGCATAGCTTCAGCCTCTGAAGCCCCTCGTAGCAGCTCAGGTTACTAAGTCCTATGACGAGTTACGCGAAGCGGCGCTGTAAACCCTCTAGTAGGTGTATGTCCCGAACCAATGTTGGTGCCCATGCCTGGATGCAATATTCCATGCGAGGTCTCATAAATGACATGTAAAACGACACTATTAATTTGGCATCTTTTGATGCAACTCTACTATGATGATCGTGACTTATTAGATGACGCGTACCATGGAACGGTACGTTAGTTTTCGGACAACTGTGATGAATCTCACTTCCCAGGAGACGTCAGCAAAGCGTGTACGTGTCACAGCTTCTAGACTACAAACCATAGTTCAATCGTACGAACCAAACAGAAACCGTGCGGCCCAGACAGAAGCTAAACAATGTTAGAAATACTGGTACGCGGTTAGCAGAGGCTTCGATCACTCATGAACTTGTCTGTACACATTATTCAAACCCCTTGACTTCGTTCAATAAACAAAATGCTATTCTTTGGCTTTTTCCTTGCGTCTCGATTACGTATGATACTATTGAGCAAGTACCGATGCGATCCAGTTCTTACGTGGCGTCTGTGATTTGTAATTCATGATTCGTACTTTGGGTTCAGCGCATACTACAATTACTGCATGTACACAGTAATTGGTACAATGCTCAGTTGACCTTTGTGGCCGCAATCCAACATAGCTTGGACGGTCTGAAGTAGTGGGTCATAAGATATCCTTGTTCTTTCACTTCTACTTGTGGGACTAACCTAGGATTCTCCAGATTCTAGTATCGGTTCACTGATACCTGGGCGTTTTTTAGGTGACTGCACTTATCCAGGTTTATTGGGAGCTTTCACTCCGTCGCCTAGTTGTATATCTTATTTAACTGTGTATATAGGATTTTCGTGTGCATCGGAAGCGCCCTCAGCTGCGTTGGCTACCCTTGGTCGGGTGGAGGACCCAGGACACTATTTAACGACGAACGGGGGGATAAGATTGAGGCGCGAATGGCGAGGTAACCCCGCTGTGCCAACCTCAACCAATACCCGAGGGATGCTAGGAAAAATGGATGAGCTGGAGGACTGGGTTGTATACCACAATCACTGAGACCTGGCTGACACCAGATGTCCAGGACTCCGAAATATCATTTCAGGGTTACACAGTGTTACGAACGGATCGATCATCGTCACGTTGCGGTAATGGAGTTGTTCTTTTTGTCCGCTCGGGTCTCCCTGTTCGAGTGCTGGTGAACTAGACCCATCCGGAATGATTTAGAGAAGCCCTGTGGTGCAAAATCAAGATTTGTGCCGGAGGGTATACCACAGTTAGAGTGATCTACCGCATACCAGCTGTGTACATCCAAAAGCTGCTGACCAGCATAAATAGGTACGCCTGCGATCGATATTGCCTTGTCTTGGGTGATTTAAACGTGCGCCATGTTTACTAGGAAACCGACGTCTGCTCTCAGCAGGCATATCTGTTTTCCAGAGAACTTCTTTTCGCTGTCCGGGCCCTGTCGTTTGTTCAACATCTTCATTTACCTACGCGGAAAGTTGGTGATGAAAGCTGTATCCTTGGTCTAGTATTTTCGCTGAGGCAATCAGATACAACTAATATTGGCCTCCTTCCACCAACTGCATCTAGTGATCACTCCGTTCTGCGTATATACTGAGGACGTAGCGTATCCCAAACGAACATACTTTATTGATCGATCTGTAAAAATCCTTCATGTAGAGCCCAGTCATTCCATGTCGGTTCCACATTTCGTGAATTTTACGTTCCATTCAACAAACCTCATCCGCCTTACATACATGTAGACATTTGACGTTCTACTCCCCTTGTATATTTACGCATCAATCCTACCATTTGACTTTGTTTGTTTATCTGCTTCAATTTTTATCCTACTTGTTTTAATCGCGACTTGAGCGCTCACATTTGGCTCGTTCGTGTGCAGTATGACGGTGAGCGTGCTATTCTTACCCAGGCTCATTTTCTTCCATTCAGATTTGTTGAATTACGCTCACAGTAACACTTGGCTCTTGTTTTCAAGTTGTTTCGAGATCACTTTGAGGTTTGTACAGCTTTTATTTGCTTATTCGATCGTTTAATAATGCAGTACCGTAAAAATTTGCCGGATCGTTCGTTTTGTTGACGCTTTGGGATCCAATTTCGGTTACCCATCGCTCGTTGATCTACTTGGGAGTTACAGTACTCATTTTTTTCCATTATACAAAGATGCAACTCGCATTATCGGTTCAACAAAATACCATCAAATTTGCTCTGGAACCACTTCATTGCCTCCTCCTTGGAGATGCGATGGCTTGGACCCACACGATTTTTGCAGCGAAGACGATGGGCAACACGCAAGCCTGACCGACCGAGAATGACATAGAATTCCATACCATAAATTCAAATGGCTAAATTATATTTAATACCCAAATGGATATTCTCAGTGAGACCGAAACCGAAGTTCCTCATACTACTGAAGCATGATTTGGGCAACTCGTATTCTTTTACCTTAAGACCCTTTTCGAGGATCTCTTCCGCTTTTGGTCCACGAACTGTGCAGTGAATCGCAATTTTTTCATTACAGCGGATGGCGAAGGTTCTGATCGTCATCCGAGCTTTGCTGAACACGGGCTGTTAACCGGTGAGCTGCTTCAACACTTTCACGGCCCGTGTGAGCCTGTCACCACTTTCACCAACGCAAATATTCAGGTACAATTTTTCAATCTTTAGCTCCCTCATAGGATTGGCAGACTTCTCCTTCTTCTCTTTAGTTGTAACCACCATTTCTAGGCGAAAGTAGCAGTAGACCTAACGTGCACGCGAACTGACCCGCCAAAAGCCAGGGAAGATACGAGTAGTATTCGACTGCGCGGCGCGATACGGTGGTGTCTCCCTAAACGATTGTCTGTTGCAGGGTCCAGACTAGACAACACCCTCGATTGACGTACTCAACCGGTTAGGAGCAGTTGCAGTGGCAGCGGACATACAAGAAATGTTCCTCCAGATTAAGATACC